ATGAAGGCACAATATAATTCAGAACTTCTGTGAAAATTCTGGTCCTTGGGGGCTGCTGCTGGTTTTCATTTTAAGTCATTGTTTGATGCCTAATTTCAGGTGGTATTTCATGACAAAATCTACCAATAAAACCTAGCTGCAGGCCTCAAAGACCAGACCCAGACCATTCTACTTTGAACGCAAAAGACTAGTTTTTTTGGTTGCAGTACCCCACATCGTCCACTAGAATGCAGGGTTTACAGATTCAGCACAGTGACATTCTGTGGTTTTAGTCCACTTGTTGTTTGCAGTAAAGTGCAGTCCAGTCATGACTGAGTGGACAAAGGCTCGTTGTTACTGGCATGTATTATAAATTTGAATTTGCTTGTTGATGTCATTGAGGATGGCCTTCATTTTGTCTTCCAGTCCATCAAGCTGCCTAGCTTTTCCCTCTAGCATCTTCTGATTGTCCTCATAATTTTTCTCCAGTTCTAGAAGGGAAATTTGGGGATATCAATGAAAGTGAACAGATAGTACAGTTCAGCCAATGAGATGAAGGGAGCTACTGGCTAGCCAGTAAGATAAGGGGAGCTCCTGACTAGCCAATGAGAAAAAGGGGAGCTCCTGGCTAGCCAATGAGATAAGGGGAGCTCTTGGCTAACCCGAAGGCTCAGTGGGTAAGTTCACACACCTGCCAGCCTCTGAAGCTTGTTCTGTGCATTCTGTAGCAGCTTTTTGGCTTCGTCCCGTAGTCGCTCCGCCTTCTTCTTTGCATCTTGCACCATCTTGGCCTTGCGGTCCACTAGGTCCTGCGCTATCCGGTACTTGTCTGTTAGCTCGCCGTCCAACACCTATCCAGCACAAACAAGGAGAAGCAAGGCTTGTGAGGGCAGTCACGTGGTGAACTGGGAGATCTGCTGTTAGACGAACATCTACATCATGGGGGTAGAACATCAAACACAAATATGGCACGATTCCTTCCGTAACCAAACAAAAAAAAACACTATTTCTCTGGATTTTTTTCCTGCTCCCCAGTCTCTAAATTCATAGTACTGTAAAGTTCTCATATATGTAGCTACAGGAGGACCAGGTATGTCTAACATATCCATAAGACAGACATCACCTATCATATTATGGGATTGCAGCAGCTTCCGGTAATCAATGTATAGAGTAGTTCTGAATTCAGTTAAATGCACTTGCAAACTAACAAAGAGAGCAGCTCCCACACGTTTTCACCTGCTTGGCCTCATTGGCCTTATCCCTCGCCATGGTGGCCGTTTCCTCAGCACGTGATGCTACTAGGCTGTTGTTTGCATGCTTGGTCTTCAGGGCCTCAATCTGCCGGCTGAGGTGGCCCAGGTGATCCATGGCATCATTCAGGTCTTTCTCCCTGGCAGAGGTCTCAGAATTCACCTACACACGAAGCCAAGCAGTGAGAACAGGCTGCATTGGAATTGCTTGGGAGTCACAGACCTTCTCAAGCCACCTGTGAACTAAGCAAGTAGGTACCTGCGCTATGCGGTCCTCTGTGCTGCCGATGTCTTCCTGGGCACGTTGGATAGCCGCCTCGGCAGCAGCCTGTGCCTTGTGGGCATCAGCAAGAGCGTGTTTCACTGTTTCCGCCACTGCTTTGACGCTCTCGGCACGGTTCCTTCCGTAACCAAACAAAAAAACCCACTATTTCTCTGGCCTTTTCCTGCTCCCCAGTCTCTAAATTCAAAGTTTATCATATTCTCATAATTGTAGCTACAGGAGGACCAGGTATGTCTAACATATCCATTAGACCAGTGTTTCTCAATCCAGTTCTCGGACCCCCAGCCAATCAGGAACACAGAATAACTGGTTTGGGTTTATTCAGACATGAGAGAGGGCAGAAATTCAAACTGTCTGGGGATCCTTCCAGAAGAGGGTTGGGAAACATTGCATTCGACATCCCTCCTCTCCGTTTATGCTGAATATTTTGTCTTATGCACCAGACTACATCAGTTATGTGTTTAATGCTGTCACTCACTTGGCCTTCTTGGCGTCCTGCAGAAGCTGCCTGGCCTTGCGCACATCGTCCTGCGTCTGTTCCAAGATGGCGTCCACGTTAGACAGGCTGTTGACCTTGTCCTTGATCTCGCTGGCTAAGTGTCGGATCTGCTGAGGGGAGGCTGGGATGGTCAGCTCCAGAACACGGGTAGCCACAGCCTCAATACTGTCCGGATCGGCGCCCTCTTCTGCAGTGACAGAAACAGCTCTTTAAGCCCGTCGTTTCTCAGATTTTCATTTCTTTGACGGTGTGTATCAGGGCCGGTATGCATAAAACTTCCTAAGAATGGTCATATACTTGGACTTAAGAGTTAAAAAAATCTTAGCAAAAAGTAGGACCTAAGAGCATTGTATAAAGCTGCTAAAAGTAACTTTCAGCAAAGTCTAAGCCCAATTCCTAAGTGCTGACGGAGCCAGCATTTTATTTGTAGTCTTCGTGAAATGAAGACTACAAATAAAATCCCGCCCCAAATACTCAACCTAATAGAGGAGCTGCAAGGTGAATATATTAGTAAAATTAAACTGTTAATGTAGAGCTTTATACAACATACCTTTCTGTGATCATACCTTTAATTGGTTATACGAAAATCTACCTAGCACACCACCAATCAATTTCCACTAATAGATGCACATGTTGTATAAATTATGGGTCAAATGCAAAACTCATAGCAAGACATTGGATCCTGAAAGAAAATCAAACTGGACGAGAAACAAAACGGTTCTTTTGGCACAGTTGGTGCTTAAATGGAAGGAGGTAGTGCGAGGAAAGTTTGGCCCAGCTGTTACAAGCACAGAAAAAAACTATTGCAAGCTCTGTAAATGCTGCGTCACCTCGGGCAACGCGTTCAGCAGTGGAATGTAAAAAAAAGTGTTACAATGTTTTATCAACCTCGCGAAAGGAAATCACAGTTTATAAAGCAAGCATGCAAGCTACAGGTTTGTGTAATTACTTATATTGCTCTTATGACCCTCGCTATGATAGATAATAATAATAATAATAATAATAATAATAATAATAATAATAATAATAATAATAATTATTATTATTATTATTATTATTATTATTATTATTATATTTTTCCAGTTGCCAAAAACTGCCATCATTATCACCTTCAGTTCAACTGTAAGTGCATTTTTCAGGTGACGTAGGAGATTGTATCCGGGTCCTAATCGAGCCTGTACCTTTTTATAAATTCATTATTGTCGTGTGTCTGCAGTACGTCCTTTCTTTGACGGAAAGTGCGCGGTCTCCGTCTGGGTGCGCGTAGTGCAGCTGCCATCATTCAACTCCTAACCGGCTTAGGAGTCCTCTCCAGCTCTCTTAAATAATTTGGGTCTTAACACTTAAGAATGTTTATGCATGCCACTTATTCTTAAGTCTGGGAGTAGCAGCAAAATCATGTCACTCTTAGAATTGTGATGCATTTAAGAGTGAAATTTTACTCTGAGAAGTTTTATGCATACCAGCCCAGATTTTTTTTCACTTAATATTTTTTGTGCAACAGAAAATCACAAGGTTTCTCATCCACGATTTTAATATAAATGTGCCATCTACAGCTCAGTAATTCTTTGAATGATTCACTGCAGTAGTTACAGTAGGCTTCTGACAGTTGCAGCTTTGTCCTCAAATCTACATTGGCTGTTGGTGTTAAACGTGTCGGTACCCACGTGTGAGGAAGTCACGGATCTCCTTGATGAGGTCTCGGAGCTTGTTGTTGGAGTGCTCCACTTTGGCCTTGGTGTTGTTGGCCTTGTCCAGGGCTGCCTGGGCCTTCCCCTTCGCCTCCATCGCCTGCATCTTGGCCTTGGCCACCTGAGGAGCAACAATGAGATATTAACTGGGGAAAATGCCATGCCCATACACCAAATCCTCACCGTGAACTGTAACACTGTTACGAATTATGCAACAGACACTAAAGTGTCAATTTCCATTCTGTTGCACATTATTTATCTGGTCTGGTTATGGAAAGTGTTAATTGAAGAATTACTTAAAAACAACACCACCTGAACATAAAGTAGTAATACTAAAATCCATACATTTATCTTCTACTCTGCTTATACAGTATGGGGACCTGGGCCTTATCTCAAGTAGCACAAGGCGGACACACACACAATTTAGTGAATTCATTATAAACACGAAACCTGTGTAACCAGGGAGACCATACAAACTCCAAGAGTTTGCTCCGCCTGTACTCACTTTCTGGAAGAGCTCCTCCACCTCAGCCATAGCCTTGTTCAGCTCCTTCTCAGCATGTTTAGCCCTCTCAAGTGCGTTGCCTGCAGTTGCCACGGCACCGTTGCAATTTAGACCCCCGCAGTGCCTGTTTCCGTCATCATCGCGGCAACTGGTGCCACCACAGGGGCTCTCATCACATGGCACATCACCAGGAACGCCACAAACCTTTGGATGCAGTGGATAAAATGAAGAATGCAGTGCCTTAAAGTTATTGGCAGCTGCTCTTACTCAGATTTGATAGCAGTGACAGGACAGAAAGGATACAATACAATGCCAAGATGGAATATATGTCAGGTTCAATATGTGATTGGAATTTTGATTTTTTTATGTATGTGAATGATTATGATGTGTATACTTTATCCTCTCATTTACATTTACAGCATTTAGCAGACTTTTCCAGAGTGACTTACAACAGTGCTTTGTAGTCCATGACTGTTCTTCGATCTATAAGCTAGACCTAAAATTAACAACTGTCATTAAAACCAAGTTAACGCTAAGTACATTGTGTAAAAACCTTGTTAGGAAAAAACAGCGCACGGGCAAACATTGTTAGTGTTTTTTTTATTTTTATTTAAATGGAAAGAGAGGACAGTAAGAGGGGTATTAGTCTCATAGGTACTCCTTGAAGAGGTGTGTCTTCAGACGACGTTTGAAGACAGTTCTTTTGGTCACATTCCTAACCCACTGTCTGCATCTCATACTTCTTCTCAAGCACTTTTAAAACTGACTGATTTAATTACTCTGCTGACCACAGGATCTGAACTCACAAGAAGATGCAAGTCCTTCAGAACAATGGTCAGAAGTCATTTTTAAAGAGGTTGGTGTTCACCCTGACCTTCTCATTGATCTTCTTCAGGTCCAGCGTGTGTGTCTTGGCAGCCAGGTCCTGCAGGGCGCGCTTGTTGGCGGCATTCTTGCGGTTAAACTCGTCCTTCTTGGCAGCCATCAGGCGCTCCGTCTTCCGCCGCGTGTCCGCTGATTGGGTGACGATGCTCGGCACGTGGGTCGTGGCCAGCTTGGCGAGGCGTTCCGCCTCTCGGGATTTGTTATAGGAGCTGCGGATGCTGTCATAGGCACCTGGTAGGAGCGTGGGTGGACAACACTGTGACGCTCACAAACTTTGTACCTTCTTCTTAACAGAGATCACACATTCTGGAAGTCTCCATGGAAGAAGCTGTATTAATGCCCACCTTTGTGAACAGATGACACTTCCAGAAACCACTAATGCATCCGCTGTTGATGAATTGGGGATGAATCTGCCCATCCCTTAGAAATCTTACCCAGAAAGTTGGAGTTCTTCAGAATGTCCAGCTGGTGGCTAAGCTGGTCAGAGGTCAGGTTGAGCTCCCTGGCCTCTCTCTCCAGGGCACTTAGCTGGCTGCTGGCCTCATAGTTGCCGTCCTGCAAGTTGGTCAGCTCTGACTCCAGGCGATTCAGCCTCTCTGTAGTCTCACCAATTCGAGCCCTGGGAGAAAGTCATTTGAGTAGAGGAGGGGAAGATTGTGACTGATACTAGTGCGAGGACTAATTTTGATAAAACATCCTTGCACCCCCCCCCCCAAAAAAAACCCTTTAAAATATAATAATGTTATTAAAATTTAAAAGTGCTAAAACTGTTCTTTTGGACTGAGGTTAGGAATCATTAATTGAATTAATGTGAGAGTTAATGGGAAGTTAATTGAGTTAATTGTGTGTGGGGGGGGGGTGTCCCCACAATGTGATAAAACCCTGTTATTTTAAATTTGGGACCACAAGGGGAAAGTCATTTTTATACAAATCTGTGAATGCAATAAAAAAAAAAAACTAAAAACAAGTCTTGTATTTTGTTTGGTTAATTATGGTTAAGGTCAGGGTTGGGTAGGGACTAAGGTAGTCATTGTTGGCATTTGGGTTTTCCCCAATCAAGTGAGTCTCCAGAAAAATCTGAATACAAATGCACATGTATGTGTGTGTGTGTTTTATGGATTTCCTGGACATCATGGCTGCTCTTCACTACCTGAGGTCCTCAGTCAGGGTCATGAGGCTGGCGATGGCCTCAGCCGTGGCATTGCGAGTGTTAACGATGCCCTGGACCTTGGCCAACTTCTTCTCCATCTCGCGAAAGCTCTTCTCATAGGCGCCAGTCAGGCCAGTGAGCTGGATCTCACGGGCCCGCTCAGTCAGGGCTTTGGTACGGGCCACCAGATCCTGGACCACACGGTCCCAGTCGCCAAAGCACTGGTGGCAGGGCTGGCAGTCCGGGAAGTGCCCTGAGAAGCCGCGGGCGCACTGGTCGCAGCGCACACCCGACACACCTGGCTGACACACGCAGTGCCCGTTCAGGTGGTTACACTGCGGTGTCTCGATGCCACGCCGGTCACAGTCACAGGCTGGGGAAAGAGGGAGGTGCTGAAGGTAGGTCACATGACCATAGGCAGATCACATGACTGGCGATGACCATGTAGGCCATGATGCACAGAACAGATGACCACACTAAACAGGAGCGACTCGTGTAGCCAGTACCATTTCAGAGATATCAAATGTTACAGTGCCAGTCAAAACTCTGAACACGCCAAGTCACCTACAAAGAAGAGTGATCGTGCTACATCACATGACCTGGCCACATGACCTAAACACAGTACAAATGGTTTTGGAGGAATTTGACCCGAGAGTGAAAGAAAAGCAGCCAATAAGAGCTCAGCATATATGTGTCCTTCAGGACAGCTGGAAAAGCTTCCCAGGAGGCCACCTCATGGAACTGGCATAGAGGAGACAGTATGGTCAACCAGTCCCTGGAGTTAAGGCCTTGCTCAAGGGTCTAATGGTGAGATCACTCTGCTGACCACAGGATTAGAATTGGAAACCTTCTGAGTCCCAACCCACAGATCTGCCCCCTCCCAAAAAATTATTTTTTTTCTTTAATAAATATTTTTTTTGGTCAGTGGATAATTTCATACATGTTATTTTATAGGTTTGTTGTCTTTATAATTATTTTAAAACATAGAGAATAGTACAAATAAATTTCTATGGGTAGGTCCAAAGTTTTGACTGGTACAGTAAATCACTGAAAGACTGAAACAGGCAGATTTCCCCCATAATGATTTAAGACATGCTGAACTCACAGACCACTCATGTGTAACAACGTACCTCTGCACTGAACCTTGGGATTGCCCCAGAAATTCTCTTGGCATTCTGTGCAGGTCTTTCCCCCAAACCCGTCACGGCAGTGGCACTGGCCTGTAAACTGGTGAGACACACCGGCAGAGTCCAACATACATTAGAAACACTGTGCTTATACTCACGTTTACTTGTCTGGTTGGGACAGGGCTGGTTGTCACCCTGCATGCCTCCAGTCCTCATAATTACAGAAAAGATAAGACACCTTCATTACAGAGACAGCAGGGCTGGTGGCGGAACGCACCTCATTACAGGAGGCTGAAACAGCGTTGATGGGGTCACAGCTGCAGGGTTCACAGCCACGGCCACTGGCCATATTCCAGTAGTTGGTAATACAGTGGTCGCAGGTCTGACCGCTAACATTGGGCAGACACTGGCACTGGCCTGTCCCGCGGTTGCACACACACTTGTCCGGAGAGGAGCACTGTTTGTGCTCGGTGCCCAGGAAGTTACAGGTGCATTCTGGGAAATTTTGAATGTGAGAACATTGTTTAAGAAAAGTCCAGTTGATGGAAGAACAGTGAAAAAATGACTAGTTGCTGAAATACTGCAGCATGTTTGTTACCAACTCTACATAAAAGAGTGAAATACAAGAAGATAACAAGCTTAATATACACAGAGGTGTCGGGGGGGGGGGGGGTGGGCATGGATACCCTGGCAGATTCAGAGGGCCCAGCAAGTTACAGGTGCCCCAAAATCTACTGTCGACCCAAGCTGGGGAGGTGCCATTTTGTCAGGGGGCCCAGAATCTCTATTTGCGCCTCAGAATGTACATGTATATACAGTAAAATATACGTATCAACAAAACAACGATCAATCAAAGTTATCGAATCATTCATGGGGACCAAGAACTAGGCTTCAGCGTGCAGGAGTGTGGGTTGGACAACTCACTCCGGCAGTTCCGTCGCTTTGCATCCCCGTAGTATCTAATCTTACACATTCCACAGTCAGGCCCCTCCGTGTTGTAAAGGCACTTCCTGCACTCCCCTGTGCGGCGGTCGCATGACTCCGGGTCGGTCATATCGATGTTGTTGCTGCAATGGCACATCTGGCAGCGGCCACCTGGTTCTGAGGGATTGCCGTAGTAACCAGGGGCACATTCGTCACAGCGAGAGCCTGGTGACACCGGGGGGAGCAGATTGGGGGTCAGGTGGCAAACGGGTAGCACAAGGGGGAACACCGGACAGAAAGACAAACGAGAGATTTTCCATGTAGGGTTTAAATTTCCAGAACATCTTCAAATGATTTTCCAGAAGGTCGAATGCAGAGGCCCTGCAGCACAAATGCTCCTGCAGACACACTGCGTGACCTCATTTGGAGATTCAAGAGCACCACAGAGGAATAGATCAGGAAAAAGGGTTTGATTATTCCTGGAAACGAACAACCCAGTTTGTGCTCATTATGTCTGACTAGGACTTGAAATCTACAAATCTGAAAACATACAGGTAACCTAGGAGAAAATGTATAGCAGATATGAAAAATTTAGAGACTATTATATACATAGATGGTATACATGTATTTTTTACTAAATATATACTTTGGCATATAATTATATAAGTCTGGGTATTAAAGGGGCATAAAATAACACATTAGGAGGCAATTATATTAGTAGCAACACCAGATCAAGTGAAACACTGTTTAGGAAGCAGAGCTTAGCTCAGATTAAGCTGGGATCTACAGCAGGGCCTCCCCAGCTTCTCCTGTCAGAGCATCATTGCCCCACAAAAAGAGCAGCCAGAAAGGTAAAACACTCCCTGCATTCAGGGTGTGTGGAGGTAAGGGTGAGCTACAGGAGCAGAGACACTCCCCACTGCTGAAATCTTCATAGTGTTACAAGGCGGTCATAAAAAAAAAAAAAAAAAAAAAGAAAAAAAGAATTGTACTTATAGAGATAAATGACAAACTCACTATATGGCCATTATTTTGATTTGTGTGAAACACAATGTGATCAAAAAGGGGAACGATTTCTTACAGATTATTTAGAATCTATTTAGGTCAGCGTAATAATCATCAGAAATTGTAAAGATACAGCTATGGAAAAAATTAAGAGACCACAGTCCTCTCTGGATAAACACGTCAACGGCTCTCCTCTCCTTCCCTCTCCTCCCCTCCTGTCTCTTGTCCTCTCTTTCTATCTTCTCTCCTCTCCTCCTGTCTCCTCCCATCTCCTCTCCTCCTGTCTCCTCCCCTTTCCTCTCTCCCATCTCCTCCCCTCTAAACACTTCTTGTCTCCTTCCATCTCCTCCTGTCTCTTCCCCTCTCATCTATTCCAGTCTCCTCGACTCTCCTCTCCTTCCCTCTCCTCACTCCGGAGGCACCAAATCTGTGACTGGCAGCAGTGTAGGTGACATTTGCAAGCAGAGGTGACAAGTGCTGACCAAAGTTTGCTGGTAGACAACTAGTGCCCTCCCAAGAGGAGATTCTCAATGACCCTGGATCCACACCTCAAGCGGACAAGGATGTGCTGCTAAAACAGGTCCTGGGTCAGTTCTTAGGGGCACTAGCTATCTACATCATGATGAGGACAGGCTGTGGCATCTTGTGAAGGGGGTGGCTAAAGCCATGCGGGCAATCAGAATTGGGTGAGGGGGTTTGAGACAGAGTTGGGGGAAGTGAATCTCCCCTTTACTCACGCTGGATGATCCCCTTGGAGCGTTTAACCATTCCTGAACCGAATGAGCGGTGGGAGAGGGAAACAAGAGGCGTTACTGACCCATAAATGAGCCTGTGAACACCTACCTCCCTGAGGAACAGAAGTGGGCATTGAGAGAAGCAAACGTGGGAACAGTAACAAGCACAGATGTGGTACAATACAGGGAAAAGCTGAAGGGCACTGTCCTCTGGAGCCATCTGCCCCACAAGTATTTCCAACAGGTTATGTCTTACTATGCCCTATATTCTGTTCCTGGATTTAAGACTTAAAGGACAGAGCAGCCAGTTATCCGGTGATGGTGACGCACTTACCTGTGTAGCCCTGGTTACAGTTGCAGACCACTTGGTGACTGCGGGTGTCCTGGTAGCAGGATGCTGCAAAGTGGCGACCGCTGGTGGGGCTGTCAGGGCAGGGGCAGGGCCGGCATTGACTCCCCGACTCCAGCTCCGGTTTGCCATAGTAACCACTGGCGC